CCACCACCACCATAAAGACTCCGGGTCTAGAAAGGCTGGAAATGGACAAGAAAACAATTAACCAGTGAGCTCTCACTGCCTTCTGACCTTGTTCCTCCAAGGGGCGGCTGAAGGTTCTTAAAAGGGGGGCAAGCCAACTAAGTACAATTGAAAATATGCCACTAGCTCATCACTGAACACATTTCAGACTTTGGCAGGATAAGACAGGGGTCTAAGAGCACTTATTTACTGCATAAAAGACTGATACCTGCGTTGCGCATACAGACGCAACCTTCCAAAGTGATCACATTAGACATACTAACATTTTTCAAAAATAACCAATATTTTAAATATTAAGGATATTTCAATTCCAGGTTTAGAAAATGACAGTTTAGGATTTATGAAGTCATCTGTTGGTACAAGTCACACGAAGTACCATCTATACACAAAGAGCCAGAGAAGAACGTGTGGGGGAAGGGGAAGCTTTTGAGGTCTGAGCTAACCCACCTGCTTGCGCAGCGTACCGAGGAAAATCAGACTGAGAGACGATTGCATAGACAGCATTCTAAAATAAAACCCTTCAAAAATGCTCACTTTAACTTAAAATAGTAAGCTTTTTGTGTACACAATGTTTTAAATTGGTGTTATAAATCCATATAACCTCATTCAAATTTTATCAAGATGGAAACTAAGTATTTTAAGTATTTATGCAATTTTTTGGGGCTGTTTTCTTAAACAAAAATTTCTAAAATTGGAGTAGGGACAAAGAAATGCACAGTCAACAGAAACTGATTCATCGGGTCTAAGTCAAGAATCCTGTTGCCCCAGCCCCCCGCACATGTGTGGAACCTGGCTGGGCAGCACAGGGGACAGTACTTGGTCACCTTTACCGAAGCAGGTCCTCTACATCCAAACAAAACAGCAGCAACAGCAAGGAAAAATCGTCAATAAAACCCAGTGACGGTGAGGCTGAAGTCTCGGGAGTCGCACGTGGCTTCTGTAACTGCACACTGACGGGGTCATCCATCACTCCCATTTCAGGTGACACCAGGGCTAGGCCAGGCTAGAAGCACGTTTAGAGGTCCCTGACACACACCTGCCCTACACAACACGTGCTCCCCAGCTCTCCTCCTCCTCAACAGACTGTCATCAGGATGGAGACGCAGTCACTCCGGTGTGACCACTGGAAATAACAGAGTGAGCGCACAACCAATTCTAAACAAACAGAAGAGCAGAACATCCAGCAGATGGAGATGCAGTGTCCGTAAAAC